TCGTTTGAAGGTAGCGATCTCGGGGTCCATTTCCAGCGGATGAATTTGAACCTTCATGGACAAATCACCGTTGGCGACTTGAGTAATGATACCACCAATTTCACGCAAAGCTTTCTGGAAGGCCTCGTTGGCCTGCTGATGCTTGCGCAATTCACGTTCGAGAAGAACAACATCCTCATTTTCAACCTTGGTAAGAGCGCGGCGAGTGTGCTCTTCCTGTTTTTGCAATTCGTCGCGAACCTGAGCAATAATATCTTTTTGGCTGCTGATCTCCTCGGCCTGTTTTTGTACGTGGTTGCGGAGGAAGCTAATATCCTCCTCCCGCACCATACGGGTGCCGTTATCATCTTCATCATCGGATTCGTCGTCTATTTCTCCCAAGGGTGGTTCGTCGGCCGCGGGAACCGGGATCGCTTTTTGCTGCTGTGACAGAGAGTCAGAATCTTGACCGGACGACAAGCGAGAGAGCCCAAATGTCCCCAAGAAATTCCTCTCGTTGGTCTCTTCAGCAGACGGAGTGGTCTGATGGGGGTCCGCCTGCTGTTGGAAATTGTGGTGACTGACAGCTTGGAATTCCAGATGGTGCACGCGGCGCACCAGGGCCTCAAGCTCGGCTTCGAAGGCTGCCTTGGCGGGACTATTTTCTCCGGGAAGTTTGGCCGATTTGGTACCGTTGGATAACTGGAAATCAAATGGGGGCGAAGAGGAACCGGGGATAGATTCGTCTCTTGCCAAATTCTGCAGCACGGAAGTCGCGGCCACGAGTGTCTCGTCCGCACTAGCCATCGTGGCCTACATAGGTTAGTTCATAATACAACCAACATCAAGCCCATGTTGTAGTACCAGCATCATAGCTGAACACTATGGGATGGGGTAAGGTATCAAAGGTAAAGCTTAAAGGATCACTCACTGGAATGTTTGGATCCTGACAGGATGATAGAAATATAGTCTAATTAAGGCGACATGAGGGGGGGAAGTCCAAAGAGAAGACAGAAATGAATAGAACCCGAGTCAACCGGGAATAAATACGAAAGGGAATATGGAAAGTCGGGAAGGGGGAAAATAGGTGGATAAGCCTTGGAGCCCTGGAGCCCTGGAAAGCGCGCCCGGTTATGTAAGCACTAGGATGGCTCTGCGGGGGAACAATGGACCAAATATGAACTTCAAAACAGCAAAAGAAAAGATCATTAGAGGTTATGAAATTAAAACAAAAGTAGGAGGTTCGAGGATGAGAAGAGAAATGCAGAAATGCAGAAGCGCAGAAAAGCGGGAATTTGGATGGGGGGAGGGGGAAAGAAATTTTGAAAGGGGCGGTGATATGTCGCCTCTTTGGGGTTTTTGTTGGTTTTTTTTTATGAGAATTTTTTTTCCCCCTATGTCTCAAATGTTTAGAATCTAACAAATTGCATCCGAGCAGAAAAAGAAGAGAAATTCAACTTGGGACAAATTTCTGCACATTTACCTGAAGCACGGATGACTGGAGAGGGCGCACGGACTGGTTGATCTATTACAGTTTCACATGCATATAAGTTATATACCTGAGGTGCTATACAGCGTGCTATGTTGTACATCTCTAAAACCACATCTCCGTACCATAGACATCTCTGTTACCATCGAGTATCCAGGGTACCTATACCCAGATAACCCAAATCCCGATTCATACCTAGGCATGGAAGGGATCGACTCTGGGACTAGTGTCGATCGCAAGGCTCCGGTTCGTGCTTTGGGCCTCACAATACGGAGCACGGAGTAGTCTAATTCCATTCCCTTTGGGAAAATCATTTCTCTTACCTTCTTATCTTCAAAGGAAAAGATAGGCGAGACTGAGTTTGCAGAACAAGTGGCTAGGATCTAGTGGGATCCAGTCCAAGTTAGTCCGAGCCTATAAGAAGCAAATGAGAAATGTCTCTCCGTTCGGGTACTGCCACAGATCCATTTGATTTCCATCACAATCTGCGTCCTTTTGGTGGCTGAGCCGGGCCTAGCGTCTCCCGTTTTGGCCGAGGTTTTCCAAACATCTCCTCCGTACAACAATTGGTCACATGGGGGGAACTTGTGCGGTGATAATACGAAGATGTTCGCTTTTGATAGGAACCGGATCACTGCTGCAGATGTACGCCGTAGGGACCATGTCTTTCACAAAAAAAATGGGAAACAAAGATGAGAACGGTGGATCCATATTAAGTAGGAGTTCAATGTTTTAATAGATGAAATGGAAGTGAATGAGGGGGAAAAAGATGCCTATAATATAGAAAATTGTAGGAAGTACGTGCCCTCATCTGCTGGGTTGGTTGGGCAGATGTGATAGATGTGATGGAGATGTGTACCTTTGTAGGGCACAAGGTAATTGATTAATGAGTGATCAAATGGCGGAGTGGAAACGGCACAGGTGGTCACAGTGTCCTACCGTATTTATCTTTTAGAATCCCGCAGAGTCATAATTCTGTGAAATTATTGTCCGATCAAAAAGAACGACCTTCATATCACCCGTCAAAAATTGACTCTGCAGGAGAAGGCTGCAGCCATGGCGTCCGACTTGACAAACCAGATCTTGGACGCCCTGTCCGCGTCCGATGCGCCCATCTTTTCCGGCGATGCCTTCCCCTCCACCCCCTCATTGAACGTTAAGAGTGCGCTCGACCGCCTTGATTCTCGTCAGATGGTCGCATATGAGACTCTAGAGAAGGAAATTGTAACTCTCACTGCTGAGGGCCAGGAGATTGCCGCCAATGGCAGTCACGAAGCCAAGGTCTTCGCCGTGGTGCTTGCTGCTTTGGACGGATTGAAGATCTCCGACTTGCCAGGAATTGTGGGCAAGGAGAATGCCAAAGTTGGCCAAGGAAATGCCTTCAAGCGTGGCTGGATTAAGAAGGACAAGGATTTACTGCGGGCATCCGCAGACTCAATTGTCGATGAGACGCAGCAGCAACTACTTGCGGTTCAAAAAACAAAGACTCTGGAGGATAAGAAGGTCCTGGCTGACCTTAAGCGGAGAAAGTTGATTGGTTTGGCAAAGGAGATTGCGTTCAAGATCACCAAGGGTCCCAAGTACGCCCGAGAATTCGTCAAGGAGCAGACCGACCTCACCCCAGAGATGATCGCCAACGGCTCGTGGAAGACGGCGCACCTCAAGCCCTACAACTTCAATGCTAAGGGTGCCCCGACTCCATCTGGGACGTTACACCCGCTGAACAAGGTGCGCCAAGAGTTCCGCAACATCTTCTTCGACATGGGTTTCGAGGAGATGCCCACCAACCGCTTTGTCGAGACTGGTTTCTGGAACTTCGACGCTCTGTTCGTGCCCCAGCAACACCCTGCCCGGGATCTCCAGGATACCTTCTACATCTCCGACCCTGCTGTGGCAGATGGTCCTCGCGAGGATCCCCCCAACGACCCCCACCGCCCAGCCCAATTAAAGTCCGAGAAGCCCCTTGACTACAAGAAGTACTGGGACAACGTCCGTGAGGTCCACGAGCACGGAAAGTTCGGCTCCATTGGCTACCGCTACCCCTGGAGTGCGGATGAGTCGCTCCGTCTGGTGCTCCGCACCCACACCACCTCCATCTCGACCTACATGTTGCACAAGCTGGCCGCCAACCCCCGGCCGGCTCGCTTCTTCAGTATCGACCGTGTCTTCCGAAATGAGTCCGTCGACGCTACTCATCTGGCGGAGTTCCACCAGGTCGAGGGTGTCATTGCCGACTTCGGTCTGACTCTTGGTGGTCTGATTGGATTCATGGAGGTCTTCTTCGCCAAAATGGGCATCCACAAGCTGCGCTTCAAGCCTGCCTACAACCCCTATACTGAGCCCAGTATGGAGATTTTCGGCTACCACGATGGTCTTGGCAAGTGGGTTGAGATCGGTAACAGTGGAATGTTCCGTCCAGAGATGCTGGAGTCTATGGGTCTGCCCAAGGACCTGAGAGTCTACGGATGGGGATTAAGCCTGGAGAGACCCACTATGATCAAGTACGTTATGTCAGCTTCTACTCGTTTCCATTTGCTAACATCAATCAGGTACGCTGTCAGCAACATTCGTGAACTTCTCGGTCACAAGGTGGATTTGAACTTCATTGAGACCAACCCGGCTATCCGTCTCGAGAAGGATTAAACGGGGGAACAGTCATAGAAAAAAGGAACGTGGTATTAGTTCTGTCTTGCTTGTGGAGTCTTCCCACTTGTGATGAGTTTATGTAGAAGGAAACGTATTACATGTCAGCTGTAGTCGGGATGTGAATAAAAATACTTGATTAAGGAGGCTCAAGCGCGGTCAGTCACTGTACACAAAGGCAAAAGATAAAACAGGATAATCATATGGCATGTATCTACATTGGATGTTCTGCCCGTATCTGTGCCCCAGCGCATGGATCTCTGCAACAGTGGCTCTTCAGCAGGCAGAGCTCGGAAGCATAATCTTCGGCAATGAAAAATATTTTTACCTCTTCACTCATGGAAATGGAGACACCGAAGACCACGACCAGCGAACCAGTCTGGTTTCCGAGTCTACAAAGAATGAGGAGGCCTTGATATGCCTAGAAGGAAAAGATTAAAAAAGAGAATGGGAAGCAGACAGAGACTAAGAGAAATGTGAAGGGATATCGTTTCGATTTTTTGACATTGCTTTTTTTTTGGCTTGTGCTTCATGAGGTTGGGCGGGAGTCTATCACAGAGAGAGAACAGGAGGGATTCGTAGAGAAAAAAAAACCTGACCCATCAAGACGTCGATATTCCATTCATTTCGAGAGATAGGTAGGAAAACAGGAGTTTCTCAGAGGAGAAAAAGAAAAAATGAACTAAAGGAACATATCTATATCCCTTGCGTCCTTTTTGGTCTTTTGAAACCAACTCCCCGAACACGGACCATCAAGCCACGGTTCCTCTGCAGCGAGATTAGCAATTTTGAACCCGAAGCATGCAGAAAGTATTAGATGGCCATAACGTACCATCAAATCAGCCCGTCAACACCACCCGGTAGAAAACCCCACATTGCTGCGGATAATTTAGCGCTGGCTGGAGGCGGTCCACACGTTCTTGAGGTAGCCGTCACGCTGGGCCAGACGGTTGAAGGAGTCATCGCTCTCGCCGCGGGCACGGATGAAGCCGCAAAGAGCGTAGGTCTGGTTCTCGCCGGTGTAGCGGCCGTTCTCGTCAACCTTGCCAACGGAGAGCTGGACAGAGGCGTGGTCGTTGGCCTTGATAATGCGGTTGGTGGCGCTGCACTTGCGGGGCACGTAGCTGTTGAGAGGGAAAGCAAGTTAGTTGTCTGGGTTCTTCTTTGGTTTTTTTGCGAGTGAACATATTCCCCTCCAATAGCCTGATTCGCCCTGGTCTTTCTGGTGACTCGCAAACGATCGCAACCAAACGGCGCTAGAGATTGTTTTCAATCCTCGCACTCTCCGACCATACCGCGTCCATCTCTTTGACTTGGGATCGAGGCGGGATTGCTGATTGTCTGCGGACACGCAGACAAAGGACACAGGGTATATTGGGGCTGGGAGAACGGGTTTTAATTCCATGGCACGTACAGATCGACGATCTCTCCCTTTTCGTTCTCCATTTTGGCGGGTTTGGGGTTGAGGTTTTGACGGGCGACGGTGAGGTTGGAGGTGGAGGGTTTTTCTGCCGCACATTAAATTGAAGACCTCAAAAGATTTGTGTGCGTCATGTGACCACTTGTCGAGGGCTGGCGTGGCTGAAGTGGGGTGGCGTGGCTTTAATGGAAGCATTACCTAAGGCCGTGGCAATTTCAACGCTGATGTCCATGCCGCGCCATGGGTAGAGCTGATTGTACTGGGGGTAAGTGTATGAATTTTACAGATTACTATTTACCCTCTCTTCCTGTAACACATCCGTCTTCCATCCCACAGCCACCTCTCGTGCGCTTCCCTTATTAAACCGCACAAGAACCACTTTCTCGGACTCGCCTCGCTTCGGAGACCCTTTCAGCTCAGGCCCGGGATCGTTCAGACCTAGCACAGATCGTCCATCGCGGGTCATGAGAAGCATTTTTGGAGATATGCATTTATCTTTCCATGGGGGATAGCCCGAATGAACGAACTTGATAAGCGCTTGACGACGCTTCTCCATCTCTTCAACAGAAGCATCTGCACGAGGCTCCTTGTCCAGAAACCCCGACACCAAATGCAAAAGAAGGAATTGCGGCGGGAATAGAACGATTTCAGCCTTTTGAGCACGACTAACCCACGTTGAGGCTGGAAGAAACTGTGCTTCCATAACCTCGATTCCACCATCGCTTGTTGGGATCTGATGCTCCTCGTATTCACCCTCTACTGGGAGTTGGTCGAGGATGTTTTTATCCACTTTTGAGGGCAAAGGCAGGAAATACAGATACATCTGAGTAGTGTATCGCTTAGGGACATTGGTTGGAGTAATCCAGCGAGTAAAGGGGATCAATTGGCCTGTAGAGTCAGCGTGCTGCTTCCAGGTCTCGACTACACAAACAAGGCACCTACCTATATCGGACTCGGCACCAGGGCTTTGCTGCTTCAGCCATTCTTCAAAAGTCGTCTTGTTCTGATGAATGAGTCGTCTGCCTGCCTCTCGGGTGGGCTCGTCAACGGCGAGCATCTTCCCAGAATTCCGGTCTTTAGCTAAAAGAATCCCACTTTCTTCAAAGAGTTCCCTGATCGCTGCACGTCGGTAGCTAGGTGAATCATCATGCCGTGCTAGATCTTCGGGTGGTGGAAGTTCTCCATCTTGGCTGGATAGGTTGCCACCTGGAAAGACGTGCGCAGACGCAAAAGATGTAGAGGTCTTAACACGATGAAGAATAAGAATCTCGTTCTTTGAAGATATAAGAAGCACGCTATTGAAGAGTTAACTTTCTTCTTTTTTTTAGGACGTCTCCTTGAGGACATCACCAGCCATGCGGCCCCTTGCTGCCGGCTTACCTGGAACTAGGCCGGGGCACTGCAGGCTCACTATCATGCTTTGAGCTAGACATCCTCTTGGGATTTGAAGAAATTGTAGTTGTGTATTGATTCATGATAGAGCTACCGCTTGAGCGTCGGAAGGACTGAACCGAGGCAATATGAGATGTACAAGATGCCCGAAAAACTAGACCGACAGCAGAACGATGACCCAATCGCCGTGTCAAGTGGCGAGAAAGATTTTCTAGATAGACAAAGGGCATTGTAAGATATCGAAGCCGAGAAACGGCTTCTCAATGTAGTCCAAGGCAAAGACAAGAGCCTAGGCAGTTCCTCAGTGCCCCGCGTTCAGCCTAACCTCATTGAGCTTAGCCGATTGCAGCGCAGCATCCACGTGTTCAAGCAACCTTCTACGTATCCACTACATGACATTTACAATTGAAATGACTTGAGAGAAAAATACAGAAAAATAAAAACGTGTCTGCTCATTATCAGAAAAGGCATAAATCTTCAAATCGTAAACTCCTATCCTGTACCCTTATTTTTAGTTTTCAAGGCCTCATCATCTATCGGGGTGACCCCGATAGTTGTATTCACAAAATGTCCGGTCAACTCTTACAAAGCTTGGATCTTACGAGTAAAGCTTCTTGTCGTAGCTGTGGAGACCGTGGACGTTACCCTCGGTCATAGCGCTGGCACTTCTCATCTCGAAACGCACGGTACCGTTGTTGACACCGGCGTGCAAATCAGTCAGGCTCTTGACACCAATGTCCTGCAGGGAGTGCTGGACACCGGCAATGAGGTAAGGAACGAACTTGGTGACGGATCCGCGGTCAAGAACAGAGCCAGCGACACCCTGAGCAACAAGGACGCGGTCCTTCTCGGAGAAGTAGCGAGCAGTACCAGCGTTGCTGGCCTTGCTGTCCTTTCCACCACCACCGGCCTTCTTATCCTCCATTGCGGCGATACTGCCCATGCCGCGGTAGGCCTTGACGAGCTGACCCTCGTTGCTGACGTAGTACTCACCGGGAGACTCGGTGGTACCGGCAAGGAGACCGCCCATCATGATGGTGCTGGCACCCATGGCCAGACCCTTGACGATGTGGCCAACGTTTTGGATACCACCATCGGCGATACAGGGAACACCGAAGCGAGCGGCAAAAGATGCAACGCTGCGCACGGAAGCGGCCTGAGGACGACCAACAGCCATGACCTCCTGGGTGATACAGGCACTACCACTGCCCATGCCAATTCTCAGGCCATCAACACCGGCGGCAATCAAAGCAGCAGCCTGCTCACGGGTGACGACGTTACCACCGATGACGTCGATCTCAGGCATCGTCTTCTTAATGTACTTGATCATCTCGATCTGGTACATGGAGTTACCCTGGCTGGAGTCCAAAATAACAATGTCCAACCCGGCTTCGGCAAGAAGCTGGAGGCGCTTCTTGTCCTCCTCGCGAGTACCAATAGCAGCAGCAGCGATCAGCTGCTTGGAGTCGGGGAGCTTGGAGGCCAGGGGATAGTGGAGGTTCTTCATCAGATCAGAGCGGGAAAGCAGGGAGACGATGTTGCCGTTGGCATCAATGATTGGGAGCTTTCCCTTCTTGGATCGACGGAGGACCTCGTTAGCCTCGGCTAGGGTGGTGCCGGCCGGGGCAGTAACAAGATCCGTGGCCATGATGGCAGTCACGGATTCGTCAAGATCAGTATGGAACTGGATATCACGCGAAGTGACCATTCCAACGAGCTTAGACTTGAGGGTTCCGTTCTCTAGTTCAAACATCAGTAATTGCTGTTGAAAGCTTGTGTAATGATAGTTTCCAAAATAGGCAAATTGCTCAGATAAAATCTGGTTCTCTACAGTGCAACTTTCGTTGCTGCAGTGGAACGAAAGTTATAAATTAAAGAGGATGGTCATCATGCAAAATGGGGGGTGGTGGTCGGAGAAGGAGATTTGGTTATCTTACCAGTGACAGGGAAGCCACCGAAGCCCCACTTGGTCTTCAGCTCCTTGGCCTCACCAACAGTGGTCTTGGGAGAGATGACAACGGGGTCCAGAATGAAACCATTCTCGTATCTCTTGACCTTGCGGACCATCTCCGCCTGATCTTCGGGGGAGCAGTTATGGTGGATAACACCCAGACCACCGAGCAGAGCCATGTGGATAGCCATGTTGTGCTCGGTGACGGTGTCCATGGGGGAGGACAGAAGGGGGGCCTTCAGGGAAATACGCTTGGTAACAGGGGTATCCAATGAAACGTCGGAAGCAGGGAAACCTATGCATGTCAGAAAAATGGAAAAGTTCTTTTTTTTTTAATTGCGGGGTTCGGCATACCGATGTAGCCCGGCAGGATCAGGAAATCGTTGTAGGTCAATGCGCCGTGCTTGTCAGAGTCAAGCAGGGTATCCGCATCGAGGCCATCAAGGGTGGTATAGGTATCCAAAACTTCCAGAGCCTTGGTGTAGTCGGTGATCTCAGCCTTCATGGCGGCACCAGGTGCTGCTTCACCGGCGGTGATAGGCATGGTAAAAGAAAGAGGGATTAAACAAGGAGTGAGACTCGACCCGTTGTAAAATCTTAATCAACAGAAAGAAACGTTCTGCTGATGGAGAAAGTCGAGCTTTCCCAAGGAAGAGAAAGAAGAAGAAAAAGGTCGAGCGAAAATTTGTTTCCTTTTCTCTGCCGTGCACGGCCAAGCCAGAAGGGAGCTTGTCTACTTCGAGTATAGCGTTCAGGATTTTTCACAGTCCGAGATTCTGATTGGCTTGTAAACGAGACCCTCCTAGGCGGTGGGCTTGTTTTGTGCTTGGCATCATGCATTACAGATGCATCGATACTACCATGTAAATGGTGCCAAGATTTAGTATGATGGAATAAAGTAACGTTGCTAGGTGTGATTCTAAAATACACCCCTACTGTAGAAGACGTTTCGCCAATGAGCTCGACAAATCTTTCCATTACCGTTATGCAGCACAGCTTTCGAAGTTGGGACATGGTAGAGGTCCAATGTCAGTTGGCTATAATTGTTAGGATGCCATTCCTACCTGCGTGTAAAGCCGTCGGATGAACCAAATTGAAGTTCTATAGGGATGGCTGGCTATACGACGGATCAGCAATGTCGCTAGTTACCGGCTTCAAGTCCCGTCTTCTATAGCAACATGACGATAGATCGATAGAAATTAAAGTGGCAAACACAGCATGTTAAATGCAGCAAAACCTCATTAGATTCTTCTAGACATGACTTCTACCATCGATATGCAATCTTCTATGGGTAAACATGGCGCTTTCAAGCCTGCACCGGGGGCACAGTCTCAGAGTAAGCCGGGGTGAGTAGTGTTTTTACCCGAGTGAAATATTTCGTCTAAAATTATGTGTTAGACTGGAGAGCTTAATGGTAGAGCCCAGTGAGTCGACCAAATTGGAGGGCCTTCACGGCTTTGCTGAATATGCGGGTTCCAGAAAGCTGAAGGGCAAAAAGGCTCTAATAACTGGCGGAGAGTATGTGTAGCAAGTTCATAAACTTCCTTGAGCTAATCGCTTCTTGGCTCTGGAATTGGACGAGCAGTCGCTATTCTAATGGCCAGAGAGGGTGCAGATGTTAGTATAGTTTTTTTGCCTTCGGAACAGCCAGACGCGGAGACTACCAAAAAATCCGTTGAGCAAGAGAACAGGGTTTGCCTTCTAATACCAGGTGATTTGAGAGATCGCAGCTTTTGTCGCCGCGCAGTGGATGAACATATGAAGAAGTCAGCCTATAGTACTGTTCCTGGCATTAGCGAATGACTTACCCCGAGAGTACAGATACGGCACGGTCAACATACTTGTCAACAATGCGTCGAAACAGTACTTATATAAGGAGTTTGAGAACACCGATCTGGATAAGACTGAAGATATCTTCAGAACCAATATCATCCAGATGATTGCGATGGCAAAGTTCGCTCTTCCTCACATGACACGAGGTGATTCGTGGGTGCTTTCTTGTCTGATCTACATCATTGTATATTCACGCGATTTCTGCAGGATCATCAACACTTCTTCTGTGGTGACTTTTCGTGGCTCGGGGACCATGATTGATTATGCCGCAACCAAGGGAGCTATCATTGGCTTTACTAGGTCTTTGGCGACACACTTGCTTCCCAAGGGCATTCGGGTCAATGCAGTTGCGTAAGGAACATATATTCATCTCTCCGTGAAAGTAGATACTGACTGCTCTCCAATTTAAGTACAGGCATGGTATATACACCAATTCAAGTCGACACCCGAGATCCTCAGGAGATGGAAGGCTGGGGTCGCAAGGCTGGTCTTGGCCGACCAGGTGAGCCTGGTGAGGTTGCGACAAGCTTCGTCTTCTTGGCTAGTGCGGATGCTTCTCTCTACTGTTAGTGGTCAATACCACACAAGTTCAAATTCTTATCATTTTGGTTTCCTGTGGCTAATAGATAGCTATACATGTGCAGATGGGCAAGTGTTGCACTGTTACCCCGCTTGGTGACTAAATAGTGTCACCGGGAGTGATGTAATGATGGAGATGTCCGCTAGAGCACTGTTCTGAACGTGTGCTTGCAATTGGTATCAATTAAAATTCAACGGGATACATAGTCAGTACAGAAGCCACGGCTTTGCCGCAGCGAGAGCTTTGTCCCATCCCTCGTCGTTCTGCCAGACGGCAACGCTCTCAATCTCCTCTCTGCCCAGTTTGAGTCCATTGTAGAGGTGCTAGGTCTTATTTCAGCAAAGCTAAATATCAAATTGAGACATTTTTAACTTACTGGGAAAAGCCCTTCGCCGGGTCGAGGACCAGACACTTTCCCGTCTGGGGACTCCCAGCGGATGTCTTGTATCACACGATGATACTCGATCCTCAATACATAGACCAGTGGTTCCTCCGTAAAGAATGCTTTCAATGTGCCTCCCACCTGATGCGCCATCGAGAGGTGGATGAAGTCATCGGCCTTGTCCAGTTCGCTTACCATGAGCCGCTCGGGAATTGGCTCGCGGACTGGTGCAGTAGAAGGCACAATCTTGTAGATATAGCGAGGCTGGGATAGTAGCGAAGCCATGACGAAAGTGATGGGAGGAAGCAGTTTAATTCGCCGAGTCAATGGTAATAGTGAAAGAGAAACAAAGTTTGTCAGGTGGTTTTGGCGGGGTCAGTTCGGCAACTTCCCTCTCGAACGCGCTGGGACAAATGCGCCATTTTTGTACTAGTTTAATTAAGTTTTTGTTAAGATTGACATGCAAAGCCAATTTTTTTATGTTGAACTTGATTTGTAAATATCATCATCAGCAATGTTGGGTTGATACACACGTTTCGAGTAAAAGTAGCTTGAATATGTTGCTTGAGAACAAGCAGTGTACATCACACCAAAATTGGGCACTAGAACTACCTAAGAATGTCCAAGCATGTCTTTAGTGCCGGTTTTTCAGGTTTCAGCAGATTTTTTTCACTTATACCAAGTTTTTAATGTCGAAGATTTCATTATTATAGCCCTCGAGATTTATGACTGTCTTGCAACAACCCTGATCTTTGCAGAAGATGACAGTTTGGGGCAAGATATAAATGCTAGAAAAGCCTAAAACAGAGCCGAGAACCTCTCAGAAGCGATCAAAACCTTAGAAAACCATTAAGCACGGACAATCAAGCATGAAGTATACCTGTGCATATCATTTGGCGGTCTACAACATAGTTGGTGACTTCCAGGTTGAGAGCTGCCAGGAGTGTTGGTCGCACGGGACTACGAGACCTGCCTGATGCATCAGCCACTTTTGCCAAGACTGAAAGTATTTGATAGGTCCGATATTGGAATTGTAATCAATGTTCAGCATATCGAATAATTTAACGTAAGGGACTATTGCGATCTCAAATAGTTGCAAATGAACAGTTGATTACCAAGTACCATACAAATGTCCAGGGCATGAGTTGTCAAACAACTTGTTCTTCGGTTCACGTGACTCCAGATCGATAAGTCACTATCACCTGATTGCACTATACCTGATCTGGAGATTTGTTATGTCCCCTGCGCCCACTTTGGGGAATCTTGGTCGCACTTGCACCCCCACCGTCAACAATTCCATCACCGGGGATCCACGAGCCCAGAGCTTGTTGATCCAAGTCACACATCTAGTGATTGAATTATCTTTGCAGCTAAGTCACAGGAGGTTGCCCTTGAATGCTATCCAATTTGGAACGTCTCTCCGGAAAAGGTCTTGGAGACCTTGTTTAACCACCCGCCCATTCCGCATCTACCACCAGAGCAGGGATGTGGTCAAAGGAGCGCGACATTTTTCAATCCGATTTCGCATACCGACCTGAGATTAAATGATGTCGACTCAATTTCCATCCCTAAAGCGGGCCCAGACGGACCTTCCCTCGCAGTCCACCAGTCCATTACGACACGGGTCGACAGCGTCCACAAGTTCGTCTACATATTCTATCGCATCAAGCTCATTTGCCCCCAGTCGGACTAGCACCGTCTCCTCTAATGCATCGACATCAAACAAATTGGGTCACTTCAGAGGGAAGAGTGAGGCAAGCAGTCTAAGCTCAGGAACGACTGTCATGGACGCAATGGAACGAGGAAGTTGGTCCAATGCTGGTACAACGTACGACAATATTCGTCGATCTCTCCGACCATTACCACAAGCCCCTAATACTTCATCCTCAATCGCGAATACTGGCGGGTACCGACATTCACGAAGCCATACAATCGATGAATCACGCGCGTGGAAGGACAATCGACCCGTCACCCCCGAATCGCGTCATCTCCATCTCAAAGAAAATGTGTCTCCACGTCACCAAACGCATACCTACGAATCACAGAGCCCCCCAATGTCTACCTCTCCTCGCAACTGGTCTCCTGTGCCCGGAACATCGCGTCCTTCGTCGGTGCTACACAATGCCCATCCTCCGCAGTTAACTGCTGCAATCTCCGCACCTGAACTTGAAAAGTTACAAAAATCATCTACGGGTCATCTCAGAACTCTGTCTAAGTTTGCACAGTCCGGCGAAAACGAATTCGGCGCCGCCGCAGCTTCTGTGGTGGGATTGCAAGGCCGTCCACGCCTTAAGCGAGCAGACTCGGGTGGCGGAAGAAGTGGTGCAGTTTCCCCCGAGAAGCCGAAGGTGTCCTCATGGGCTGCCGGGAAGTGGATGGACCAGCAGCGACAATTCATCCAAGCATACGAGTATCTGTGCCATATCGGAGAAGCCAAACAGTGGATTGAAGCTGTCATCCAAAAGCAAATACCGCCAATCGTTCAGCTGGAGGAAGGACTGCGAGACGGCGTCACTTTGGCGGAGGTGGTGCAAGCCATGTACGCGGGCAAAACCCTTCGTATTTTCCGACACCCCAAGTTACAGTATCGCCATTCAGACAACATCGCTTTGTTTTTCCGATTCCTCGATGAAGTTGAATTGCCAGAACTGTTTAGATTCGAACTCATCGACTTGTATGAAAAGAAAAACATCCCCAAGGTGATACACTGTATTCACGCGTTGTCATGGTTGCTCTTCAAAAACGGCATGCTGGAATTCCGCATGGGTAATTTGGTTGGTTTGCTTGAGTTTGAACACCACGAACTTGAAAAAACCCAAAAAGGGCTGGACAAGGCCGGTGTCAGTATGCCTAGTTTTGCAGGTATGGCTGCAAATTTTGGCGCGGAGCCTGAACTGGAACCTGAGCCCGAGCTCATCGAATCGGAGGAGGATCGTATTGAGCGAGAAATGCACGAGAACGAAGCCTCAATCTGCGATTTCCAGGCCCAGGTCAGAGGAGCCATGATGCGTTTGAAGCTTGGAAATACGATGAACGACCTGTGGGATTTTGAGCCCCTCCTAATTGAGCTTCAGTCACGTCTACGCGGAGATTGGGCACGGCAAATCAGTGAATACCGACTAAGCATGCTCCAGTTTGCAGTTGGACTGCAGGCCATCAGCCGAGGCTTCACTGTACGTCGCGTTCAACAAAGTGACAAGCAGTGGCGCCAATCTCAGGAAATGGACGTTCTACAATTCCAGAGCCTGACTCGGGGGTCTAGGGCTCGCACGCAAGTCAGTCATCTAAAAACTCGCGCACGACGAGAGGAGTCCGGCATCAAGCAGATTCAGGCCGCGATAAGAGGTGCACTGCAACGCATGAATGTTGGTGACCAATATGAAGAGTCTAGGCATGCTGAAAATGACGTGAAATCACTTCAAGCTTTCATCCGCGGTACCTTGCAACGCAACCAGATCGATGCTCAGTCTCGTGATCTGAAAGAAGTTAGTAGTTCTGTCATGTCGCTCCAAGCA